TGAACCAATTTCGACCAGTTTTGGTATATGGTATTTATGGTGAAGGGAAACAAAAAATTTAAACCTCTTGGTCCCTGCCCCCTGGGGCCTGAGGGGTGGGGCTAAAACCATAAAAATTAATGCAATTTTAAAAGTTCCTGTCTACTCCTGGACACCAAGAAGCTAAACGTTTGACATAATTGTAATAAGCATTGAGTCCTCTACCAAAATTGTGAAATTCATGGTCCCAGTGTCAGGGGTTCCATTGTTAGGGATGGATTCTATTGATCATACAGTGAAAATGCACACGTTCTTTAAAAAGTTTCTTCTCTTCTCCTGTATATTTAGCAGACAAACTAAGTGCATTATTATTATAAGCAAGGGTGCCTCTTCCTAAGTTGTAAAATTCATGGACCCTGGGTCAAGAGTTCTGGTGTTAAGGCGGGCTATATTGATTACTAGTACATGTATATAGAAAAAATGCATTATTTCTTTGAAAATCTTCTTTGCTCCTGGGAATTCAGGAAACAAACCGAGTGCATTATTATGATGAGCAGGGGTGTCTTTTCCAAATTGTGAAATTCGTGGCCGAGGGTCAGGGGTTCTGTTGTAAGGGCGTGACTCTATTGATAATATAGTAAAAATGCCTTAATTCTTTGAAAATCTTCTATTCTGCTCTTGGGTATTTAAGAGCCATTCTCTGTAATGACTTGAACTTTTATATAGGAGCTGTGGCACGCGTAGTCTCCGAATTTCTCCATACTCTCTAAGATAAAAGTCTTTGATACCATAAACTCAAATCAGACAAAATTTGGTTGCTACGTGTCATGGTAACAATAGCAACATATCCTTAAGTATAAAAAATGGCATGTTTCAACATGTTCAGAGACCCATAGCTAACGTGTGCGGCAAAGCAAACAAGTGCCAATGACAGTTTCTGAAAGTTGAAGGCCTGGCGTTTTCAATGCATAATAAATATGTTTGGTAAATCACCTATCATATACGTTACTATGGAAACAAAGTATTCAAAAGTAATAATTTTGTTCATTTAATTTTATAAAGTCATACACTTAAGAATAAAAACAATAATAGGTTGAAATAAAAGCAAATAATAGACAAAAGACCCTTATAACATATACCAAGGACGAAATATGATATTTCTTATAGGTTGGCAACGGTTGCCATGGTCTTAATACCACGAAGGGAATTTAAATTTACTCTCTTCGTGTTTTAATCTTATCCTATCTTTTTAAAAAGCACATTTCTATATAACTGATGATCAATTTTTAACGGCGTTGGTGTTGTCCTAATTTTCACATTTCAAAAAATTCAAATTCAATTCTTTAAATAGAGCGTTGCTATGGAAATAAGCTGAAAAAATATGCATAAATTTGAAAAATATTCTGTTTCCTTGGATACGTACCCTTGTATGTAGATTCCCAAAACTTTTATGATTGATATTTATGAACAACTAACCTGACTTTCAATTTTGACTACCACCAAATCTCTAACTGGATGCAAAAAGCTGGCATATAGGGTTTAATATTGATATAAAGTTAACAAAATCGAACATTTTCCCTTCTTGGTAACCATAGCAACAGTGTTGTATTTTTCATCAAACTTTGTCAATATATGATATTCAACTTTAGTTCTACCAGATAAGTACTATTCAAGGTGAGTCAAATAATATGTTCCTTGATTAAAAGGTTACTAAATTCCTAAAGCAGCAAAAAAATATCACTTTAAACAACTGATACGTTGTTTCCAGGTTACACTGCAAAGTAACAATAAATCCCAGTTTTTCTTATGTTGTCGGTGTTGCAAGGTCCTAAGGATGTATATGTGCCAGTCATGAATTTTATTGTTTTTTCCTCAAAATAGTAGCATTAACCCAATCTTAGCAACAGATTTTGCATGGTTACACTGCGTTTCCATGGCAACCATGAAAATAATTTTTAGAAAAATATTGCCAATACCTAATTTCTTAAGGTCAAATATTTTTATTGATTTTCTTAGGTTGTTGATTGAGTTTGATCATGTAACACCTATCATTATTGAATATTGAGCGTTTTTCAGCATATTTCAGCATCTAAAATGTATTCCAAATGTACCTATGGTTACCACTTATTTAGAGATAAATTCTAAATAGTTTCTTTATAGCATAAGTGGCAACAAGGTGTCATGTTTTTGTGAGAGTGGTTTGTTTGTTTTTCTTAGTCTTTATTAAGGCTTAATAAAGATTCGAAGTAGCTATAAATCTCAATTTTTCCAATTTTTCTGGCTGTTACCATGGCAACCAAGACACATAGCAACGAAATTTTATTTGATATATGTTTCTGGTGTCAAGTAGTAATAATGGGCAAAGTTTCATCAAAATCGGTGACTATGCGTGGCAAAGAAGTTTAAATGGTTACAGAGAATCACTATTAACAGATAACTTAAGTGTATAGTTATGATAAGCAAGTGTGCTTCTCCCAAAATTGTAAAATTTGTGGCTCCTGGGTCAGGGATTCTGGTGTTAGGGTGGGACTCAATTGATAATATAGTTTAAATGTATTAATTCTTTGAAAATGTTCTTCTCATTTGATGGGTATTAAGCAAACAATTTAAGTACATGGCTATGATGAGGGTACTTTTTTTAAAAAAAAAATTATATAGTTCGTGGCCCCTGCGTCAGAAGTCCTGGTGTTAGGGCGTGGCTCTGTTGATCATATAGTAAAAAAGAAAAAATTTCTTTAAAAATTTTCTTCTCTGTCAATTGGTATTAAGCAAACAAACTAAGTACATGGTTATGAGCAAGAGTGCCTCTTCCAAAATTTTGAAATTTAAGATCCTTGGGTCAGGGGTTCTCTGACCCAGGTCTGGGCTATATTGATAATATAGTGAAAATGTATTTATTCTTTAAAAATCTTCTTCCCTGCTCCTGGGTATTTGCAAAAAACTAAGTGCATGGTTATTATGAGCAAGGGGGTCTCTTCCAAAATAAATAAATTCGTAGCCCCTGGGTCAAAGGTTCTGGTGTTGGGGGGGGGGGGGGTTTCTGGGTCATAGATTCTGGTGTTGGGGGGGGGGGCTCTATTAATTATGTAGTGAAAATGCATTATACTCTGAAAATCTTCTTCTCTGAGGTTGTAGGGAAGTGTGTACTCTTCTGAGAAAAGTTATTCTCCTTTGCTATTCAATGTAATTACTGTAAATAATGTAAATGTTATGTCAAATTGAATAAACGAATTAAACAAGAATTTTTAATATATAATGCAAAAATTACTTTCAGCTTTTAATGGTCAAGTAGCTATAGACTTGTAAATAGTAGATAAATAATTAGAAGTCTCTGACAAGACTGTAGCTCTACTGGTTTGTACTTGTAACAAATGAGGAGAAAAGTAGCACTTTGTAACAGCAATAAATAGAATAATGATCCTTGGTTTAGTCTCTTTTTGTGGCAAGATTTATTGCAATCAGACCTAACTGTAGGAGGAGTAGCCTTTTAAAAGAATTTTACAGAAATTTCGATTTTAGTAACCATTCATCAAAATCAAAAACTGATAAACAGAATTATGAAACTTAATGTAATCTACTTGTGTGTGCCAAGTTATATTGAAATCAGACCAAAACTGTAGGACGAGTAGCGTTTTGAAAGTATCTCACAGAAATTTCTATTTTTAGTAACCATTGCAACACCTTTCATCAAAATCAAAAACCGATATACAGAATTATGTATCTTAGTGTAGTCTACTTGTGTGCCAAGTAATATTGAAATCAAACCAAACCTGTAGGAGGAGTAGCGTTTTCAAAGTATTTCACAGAAATTTCTATTTTTAGTAACCATGGCAACACCGTTCATCAAAATCAAAAACCAATAAAGAGAATTATGTATCTTAGTATAGTCTACTTGTGTGCCAAGTTATATTGAAATCAGATCAAAACTGTAGGAGGAGTAGCATTTTGAAAACTTGTTTACAAACGGACAGACAGAAGGACAGATGACGGACACCTTACTATCGCATAAGATCTTCTGGTCTTTTCTTCAAAGACCAAGAAATGCCAATGTTTGAGGAAAAGTGAAGGGTTTACTCATGTTCTCTATGATAGTGACAAATGGGAGTGTGTTAGTAATGGCAAGTAAATAGATTTACTCTATGATTAATTATCGAGTACTAGAGTAACTATTTTGTTGATCCCTGACCATCCTATTTCTCTTGCTCTGGGGCATCATATCTTAATCTCAATTTATTTTTTTTTAAATTATAGACTTCTATTGACCCTTTACAGTGTTATATTACATGTATACTCAGGTGATCAGTAAGGCCCTTGGACCTCTTGAAAGATTATTTTTTCCTTCTTCATAAGATGTGATTATATAGCACAGAAATGAATGCTTTATGTTTATTTATCTGAGCCAATGTGAAGAAATTAAATTTCTATTCAATGTGTTTTCGATTTTTTGACCAACTTCATGATGCTGAAAAAGTTCAGGTGAGGGGACGACCATTTGATTGGGGGGGGGGGGGGGGGGGGGAGGGAGGTTGGCTAATATTTTTATTTTCATGTCAGTAAAGGACAGATTATTTATTTCCAAGATGATCAGGGATGGTGTGGGTGCAACCTCCACAATCTCCTCAAGATCCGCCACTGGACATGAAAAAAAAAATAGGTGTAACATTATATTTCACCAATTACATGGAAATCACTAATTTTCTTGGGGGGTTAATTTTTGTTTGTTTTTGTGGCATGAAGAGACCCACAAATTCCTACCCTCCATGAAATGTTAACATTACGTACAATATATTAACACTCAAATATTTTCCACCATGAAAGCAAGTCCCAACAAACCAATATTGATCCTCAAACCACAAAAATTTGACCCTATAAAAAAAAAGTTATTTTACAGTGTGTTACATTTATAACATACATGTATTTCAAAGTGTATTTTATATTTTAAGTGCTTAATACTGAAATCACAACATGACAACTTTGCCTCAATTTTATCAAATGGTTTTAAGTTATAAGTACACTTATGTATTATGGTGTTGAATTTTTTATTCATAAAAATATGTATGTATATAATATATGAAAAGCGGGACAATGTTTTCAGGGAAAATAATCATTCCTGTTAAATAAATTGGTGCTACATTTTATTACATAAACCATAATTTCACATTCAAGGAAAACCATCTATGGTACTTAAAAAAAAATCTGGCAAAATATCAGATGCAGTTATACAGATCTATAATAAATACAACATTCACTTTTATAAATAAAAGCACTTCTAGCTACAAATATAAAAACATTTATCACAGCTTCTCTTTCCATCATGTTCACACAACAGAAATTGGTCCAACTAAAGAGTAAAAAATTCTTGGAACATTCTGATATAATACACATCAGTTTCCCATGTGAAGCAATATAATACTGCACAAATGCTATGCTGCCATACACAGAATATTCAACATGGCATTTAACCTCTCAAAAATTTGTTGCTACCTATCATTTTTCTTACAGTAATAAAAAAAGACCTTTATAAATACAATGTTTCAAAAGCATAATATATAAATGGACGGCAAAAAGGAAAAGTGTTGAACACTAATCATCAATTCTACATAAAATGTTTCTGAGAGACAAAAAAATTGTATATGAATTTTTTTTTTCTATAAATAATACATCTGATGACTGGCAGCTATTTCAGCTGGAGTTTATTCACGAATTTACTGTAATCTTGTTAATAAATTATGCCTTCTCTACACACACAAACACATTCAAGACAAAACTCCCCTAACAAAGGTGACTATACTGACACGTTGCATAGAGGTACCATTGATAACTACAATCCTCGTCGACTAGTACTACTGGACGGTAAACTGTGAGTAAACACACACTTCATATAGCATCATAAAACTATCGAGGTTTGGGGGACTGGCTAATGGTTGATCGGGCCTTGCCCAGTTGCCCAGAGAGTTCACGCACTTTGTCTGCCCAGTATTCACTGCTTTGCTGCAACTGGATGGAAAGCTGAAAATTTATATAGAAATGTTTTTAAATTTACAAATATGTTAACTTGCAATTAGTCTGATTTAATAGATACATGTACTTTATCTTCCAGATAAATTTCAAAATGACATTTGAGGTTAATTGTAAAAAAAAAAAAATTACTTCAATATTCAATCCTATCAACAAGCAGTCAAACAGTTAGCTAGTTATTAAAATTTTCAATTAATCACTAACTGATATGCATCACCTCACACTACTTCATATTTGTCCTAATGTACATATGCTGTTAAAATTTAAATGAACACTATATTGTTAAATCACATTTTAATAATTAGTTTAAGCCCTTGTCCACTCCTCCTTATTGGACTTTTTACACTGAATAATATACATGTACATGTAGCAGTGGTAAGAAATTAGAACACACATCACTAACATCAGAATACCTACACTTCACCTAATGGCTGTCAGGGTATCTCTGCAGGAATACATATATATTTTTAAAATACTGTTTGTAATTAAATTTGTTCCTACCAATTTTTTTTTTTCTCCGAACAAAATTGCTACTTTTTGCTACGATAAAACCACATCACTAAAAATATTTAAAACATTTTTGAAATCCTTAGATTTTTTAAGGAGTGTCATTTCAAGATAATGTATAATTTCCTACACTTACCTCACCCACTCTCTGGATCCAGTAATTCTTGTCTAAAGCATGTGGATCAGATATCCCAGCATCCTCTAGTCCTTTACCATAGGCTCTTTGCTACAAAATGAATCAAAACTCTCACATAAAATATAACAGCTTGTTGTGTATTTTGATGACACACATATAATGAATGTGTTACACATGTGCTAATGGTGATTTTGAAATCTGAACCTAGATATATCAGTAATATTTATTGATCATTTTTCAAAAAAAAAAAAAAAGTATAATGTAGTAAGCAGTAATAAGTAATTTCTATATTAAAAGATATGATACAAAAAGAAATCATGTGCAAATCTATAACCAGACTGATCTACGTTATCTAAGTTTTTTCAATGAAGGAAAATGCATTTAATAAAAGGAAAATGCAGCAAAATGGAATATCCCCTTGCAATGCAGTTTAAAAGGTGTTGTTCATGCATATACATGTGCCTTTAAACAGATGTAAGCACCACCATAGTTACATTCAAATAAACTTCACTCCAAGGGAATAACATTCTTATTTTCAAATTACATGCATCACTGTTATATGTACAATGAAACTTCCGGTATATGTATCTCAAAAAATGGGGCATTTCTTGCTATAGAAGATCAATTCCGGTTTACTACTGAAAGTCATTTAAGTAATACTTAAGTAAGACTAAAAAATGTAATATATTTATACATGTAGTACAAAATATACCGATCTTTATGTGATGTGCATGAATTATCTACCTTTGTACAGTGTTTCTGAAGTGCTGCAAAATCACTTTCAACTGCTATTGCTTTATTTGTCCGACACCAAAATCAATAGATTAAAATTGAAATTCTTGTTTTCCAGCATTTTTTTTAATCTTTATTTGAAACTGTAAGGCTATTGAAAATTACTATGGTTCATGTAAAATTTGCAAATAGAATTAAAACCAGATAAAGCAAGTTTACAGCACTAATGCACTTTGCATGCATATAATGATTATTTTCTGATTATTTTATGTAAGTCATGAAAGACTCTAAATCAGCGTCTAAATCTTCAATTGCAATAACAAAGGACAAAATTTGAAGAAGAAAAAAATCTCAAAATAAAATTTATAAAAATATTTTCATTTATAAAAGTCAGTTTAAATTTATGAAAAAAAATTGAAATAATTTTTACATCTTCAACCAAATCTAGACTCAATAATGCATAAAAAATGTCCTTTTTCATAGCAACCTGAACTACTCTGCCAAAGCCATGAATATAGGTAGGATATATGCTCCAGTCTGTCATATATGATACCTTGTCAATAATTCCTCCCCTCAATATTTTGTCTTTTTTATCATCCTGAAAACATTCACACAAAACATCTAACCCTAGCCTATTAACACTAAAATGATCAAGATCACACACAGCTGCTACAAGCTCTACCCATAATGCTCTGCTGCATCATCATGTCATAAATAGGCCAAATAATATAGTCAGACTAAAAATAATTCTTTAAATCTTTGAAAAATGAATACATATTGAGTCAGGTGTGCATTTAAAGTAAAGCTTGCAGCATAATTCTTTAAATGTTAATTATCCGATGCCTCTAAATTAACCACATTTTTCTTTGTCAATGGTACCTAAGCTTACTTAAAACATTGTTACTGGGAAAACAAACAATAAGCAATGACATAGCAATGCAGAATTAACTCTTTCTTACAGGACTAACGACTCGAGCCTTGCGTTTTGGGGATCGCTTACTAACAGGGCTTCTCTGATGACAGAATCATATATCAAATTAAATTTCATACTTGATGAACACAAAAACAAACATTTTTTTTTTTTAATTTGTCTCAGACTGAAGTAAATTTTCATTTTATATAGATAATCTCTAACAACATAAACCTTTTATTTGTGCAGAAGTGAATATTTCAAAAGCTCTGTGAATGGATGTTGATAATGATATGTGACTTAATAATGACTGTAATTGGTATACTTACAGGTTTATCAAAGTCCTTGAGTGGGGAGCTGTTTTCAATGAGGAGGTGACGTTTTGCGTCCAGCTGAGATTTTAGACTACTGATTGTCTGGTCTTTGCTTTCTACCTGTAATTCTAATGTCTGTCGGGATGAAATCTCTCGATCAAGGTCATTCCTAAGACGATGGTTCTCTTTTTGTAAGGTACTTAGCTGAAAATGATTGGAAAAATTATAAAGTGATTGGAGCATTTTTCTCATTAATGGCAGTAAATTTAATCATCATAATACAGTCAAACCTTGTTGGCTTGAACTTTGAGATAACCAACCAGGGTAAAAAAAAACATTAATACTAAGGGGTTGGGACTGTCAATCACTTTGATATATCCCTTATATTCAAGATATCAGTGTTTGAGATAATCAAGATCAACTGTACTGAATTAGATTTGTAAAAGTTTGTTGAGGATTTCTATACAACCCTATTTTACATATTTACCTGCTGATTTAGCTGCTGGATGTTGTCTATATTCAGTTTCAGTCTAGAGTGAAGATCTTCTATTGTAGCTATTTTACTCTGTACTTCTTGATCCTGATCATGTCTGAAAAATGAAAAATCTTTTCATTAAAAACAAAAATTCTGCCAATTAGAACTTCATTCAATAGCACTACTGCTGCTGGAAATTGCTTCTTATCTATTTATATCAAGATATGAAAAAACAAGTCTTACTCATGATCTTCAAGCCTGGATCTCAGCTGATTCAGAATAACTTGCTGGTGTGAGGAATGGTTCTGTAGTGCCTAAAATTGAAGTGTATAAGGAGTAAAAATATATTTGTTTATATGTCACCTGTTTTGCATCCAAAAGTCAAGTTTAGTTTTGTACCTTAAACCTGTCTGATTCATCACGTCTCTCTTCTAGTTCTATCTTCATTTTGTTGCTCTGTTTCTGTAGCTGTGCAACTTGGTCAAGCAATTGTCTACAAGGAAAACAAAAAGTTTCTTAATTCTTGTCAAGACTTTTATTTTAACATTCATTATTACCAGTAAAATGAATTCAACCTCCTATATAAACTATTCTGTGTGTGACTTACTCTTTTTCTGATGTTAGTGTCATAATAGCTTTGCTCTGCTCTCTGGAATTTAAAAGAAAACATTTATAAATAAACAAAATGACAAATTAGGCTTTAAATTGTATTCAATTGTCAAAATGAAGTTGCAACATATTATATAGATCTTGGATGTGCAAAAAGTCATGCCAAATGCATTCCATTATGAAAAGTGCACTGAAGATAGTGTAGAATAAGATACATAAAGAAAATTATATATTAAAAAGTGATATACAATGTATATCCTTGTATTAAAAGAACTTTTTCTCAATATTATGCAATAATGTATTTCCCTAGTCAAATGTATTTATTTACCTAATCTTGTTGCCCAGTTTCTCATTTGCAAGCCTGTGAATTATAAAGCAATTCAAACACATGCAATGAACATTTCAAAATGCATATTGTTAAATAATCTTTGTAGCAAGGCATGCAATGCAATTCTTGATGATGTAAACAGGAAGAAAACTGTTTCAATGATAAATTGTAACTCAAAGTCCAAAACTTAAAAGACCGAGATTTTTTTTAAAATCTTACTTTTGTTCCTGCACCCATGTGTTGACATTCTGAACCACCAGTTCACTCTCTTTGTGAAGGCGGTCCCCATTTGACCTTGATTCCTCCAGAGCATTACGCAGTGACTGAATCTCCTCCCCAGAACAATGATAGTTATACTGTATGAAGTCGTGATCATTCTTCAATTTGTCAAACTGCAAAATACGTACACCATCAAATTACACATATTTCAAAGCCCAGGGTCATCAAAGGGAAATTGAAAGCTTTCAAATGAATGTTAAAAAGAAGAAAATGTAAGGGGTCAATTTACCGCATCTAATTTGGCTTTAAACTTTTCTTGCAGATTGCTAAGTTCTATTTTTAGGACTACTATTTCTTCCTCCCTGGCAGAGAGTTCCTGTAAACTCTGTCGACTTTTGTCCTGGGTATTCATAAGCTCTTGTTGCATATCTTGGTATTTCATCTCAAAGGCTCGCATCTGAAATGAAACGAATATTTCAGTTACTTTTTATTCTATAGACATGTATACATATATTTGAATGTCAAGGAATATTCTGGAGTAAGAAACATTAAATAAATGAGTGATCAATTTTAATAAAAAAAACTTGAAACTTAATTACAAGATTATCCTTTTATTCTAATGTCATTTTATAGTGTCACCTAAAACTATTAAAAACTCTGTTAATGTGAGTAATTTACCTCATCATCTGCAGCTTTGTTCATCTCCTGCAGCTTCTTGCATTCTCCATTCATCATCCTCATTTTTTCCTCAAATGCATGCAACTGAAACAAAACAACCAATATGTCATCATTTCAATATTGCGTCACCTTATTCAATAAAAACCAAAAAAATTTAAATCATACAAGTTGATAATGAGAAAAACATAACCTCGTCAAACAATGACTAATTTTGATGCTGAGATTTGGCAAAGTTGAGGTTTGAGTAAGAACTTACCTCATCAGACAAGGACTGGTTTTGCTGTTGTGATTTGGCAAGGTCAGTTTTAATTGCTGCCACCTGGCGAGATTTTTCTCCAAGCTGATCCATGGACTCCTTGTGGTGACCTTGAACTGTTGCTAGCTGAACCTTAAGGTCATGGACACGCTGCTCATTGTCTAATAACTGGAAACATCAAGAAAATATAAAAATTTCTATCTGTATCAAAATGCTGACATTCAATTTTTCAATCTTTTATATACACATTGTAATAACAATACATTAATAGTACAACCTTAATTATAAAGCAGTGAACAAAATGAACTTTAAAAAATATGGTTACCTCTGCATGAGTTTTCCTGAACTGTTCCTGGGCCTTGTCAAGGTCATTCTGCATTTGTACAAGGGTCTCTTCATATCTAGAAATCTACAGAATGGAAGAAAAAAAGGAGTATTATGTAAATGTTTTCCTAGAAATAATTAGAAGAATAGTGAAAATAAAACCTTTTGTAATGTATATATAGAACAGTTGTCTTCTGACCTCTTGAGAATGATGCTGACTCTGTTTCTGGGCAGTCTGGAGGTTCATTTTGGCCACCCTCAGCTGTCCCTCCCTCTCAGCCAGCTCCTCCTTGAGGTTCCTCTGTCTCTGCTGTATAGACTCCATCTCTCCTCTCATGTTAGACAACAGCTCATCCTTCTCCTTAATCTACAATTATAAAGATTCTATCAATTTACCTCTCAAATAAATGCTCATAAAACTTCACAGACTGATTACAATTTACTTTACTGTTATAACTTGCACCTTCAATTTCAGTACAATTGTACATGTATTATTTTTTAAGAAGTACACGTAACAAACGTTCAAATGTATGGGTAGTGACCTATCATTTTATTGGTTTTGATCCACTTAGATAAGTGCAGATTGTATCATACATTTATAAGAAGCCTACAATAGAAGACTTACTGTAGTGGCGAGATCTGCGACTTGTTTGTGGTAGTTATCAATGTCATCCTTAAGATCACAGTTAGCTTTCTTGGCCTTCTGTAGGTGGCGCCCCGTGTCAGCATGACGTTCTCTCTCCGCCTTCAGTTCCTGTTGTAGCTGTGTCAGGATGTTGTCCTGTTGCTCCACCTACAACAGCACATTTACAATGAAGATGCTGCATAGTTGAACCTTTTTCACGCTTTGGGAAATAGTTATCATCTTGTCGGACAATAAATTTGCTACATGTCCTCATAGCCAGTGAATAGGTGTATTCTATCTATTTTCAAACACATGCACCAATAATGTGTACCTGTAGATTATTGTTAGAGTATAAGACTGACCTGCTCAGACAGCATCTGTTCCTGTTCACGGGCCCCCTTGAGCTCCACCTCAGTTTTGTGTGCCTGTTGTTTGTAGGCCAGGCCCTCCTGTACCGCTGAGTGATACTCCTCCTTGGCTGCCACCAAATCCTTCCTTAGTTTATCAATTATTGACTTCTGCTCTGCGATTTCCTCCTCATAGCTGGTATTCCTCTCCCTCAGAGTCTTGAGCTCGGCCTGTAACTTCCTGTTGATCTGCTCATGCCTCACGACCTCTGTGACCCTTTGACTGAGCTGATCTTGTGTCGTGTTTAAGCTCTGTTCCATCAACATTAGCTTTTCTTCATGATGGGCAAGCTGTTAATCATATACAAAACCATTTTACAATGTTCTCCATTACAACATTTACTTTATTGACGTATTAAAAATTTTTTTATAAATTCTGAAATTAAAATTATCATAGGAAATACAATCTATAGGTGAACAACTATTTTTGTAGTTATTTCATTTTTTTTATAATCATCATTACTTTGGAATTTAATTGATTTATATTGACCATTAGCTAGTACTACAGGACATAAATCATGTCAAGATGAACTTAATATCTTCATAAATAATCCCCAATCAACTAAACTGTCAAACAGTAACTAAACAAACATGAGCAAAGACAAAAACTTCAAAAAGATAATGCTATCCATAACTATCAGCTGACAACTGAAACATTCCCAATATATCACACCGAGGACAAAATTCCCAGGCCTCTAGGTTTTCTGGGAGAGCCATGGATCTGTGATACAATTGAGGCAGTGTTTGTCAACCTGCCTATAGATTTAAATGTCAGTCAGATGGCCAGATAGATTTGTGGATACCTATGCCATACGGACCCATTTGACCAGACCTGTCAATATTATCTGTCTTTCTTTCTTATTTTAATTGTTATCATTTTCATCCTGGTTCTTCACACATTTTGAACTTTTCAGAAAATATCTTAAAATTATTCCATTTAGTTTTCTAATTAAAGATCCATCTCTTTTCTTATGTATAGCCCATAATCTACATGCTAATTATTTTATTACTTGAAAGTAAATATCACAAGTTCACATAATTTGACTTTTCTCAGATGTCAAATGAATGTTAAATGAAAATTTAAATGCTTAAAAGTCAGCCAAGCATTTCAACTAACTTTAAACAGAAAGTCAATTCAATGTTTACCCGATTTTCTTTAAGTCTTAAGTACTGTTGCAATGTACCCTCCACACAAGTAAAGTAACATGGAATTATATATTCAGTATAACATTCTCAATAGAAGTTGAATAACCTGAACTTGAAGACAATCTCACTTGATAACATTATCAGGAAATGCCCTACCTCTTGTGCACAGTCTTTGTACTGGGACCGTGCTTCTGACAAATCAGATTTCAAATGCTCAGCCTCATTCTGAACTTCAGATAACTGAAACAAAATGGATATTTTTCAATTTCATATAATTCAAATTTTGCATTATAATTAATGACTTCTCAAAATATGGACAAACCTACAATTTTTCTCTCTTTTTTTTGCATTACCCAATTAACTTTGTTTTAATATCTAATAGAACTGATCACGAGAAAAATTTAACATGTATAGAATACTAATGTATTTTACCTGACTGTCTGCTCTCTGCTTGGAACTCTGAAGATGGTTCACTTCCAACTTCAAATCTTTGATGTTAGCTTCCAATTTTTCAATCTGAAACAATGAATTTTCATATTCCCTTATAGTCATTTCCAGTCCAAAGTTCCAACTATTGCTTTCATTCAGACTGACACCATATCTTTTTTCCAGAGTACTAGCACCCAAACTTTCACGAGGCATTTTTTCCTTCCAACTTTCTCTTCCAAAGTTTGACATATTGCACAGTTCGTCCCCAATTTCACATTAATCAAAGTTTTGAATTCCCATCCTTTTCTACAGATAATCAGGGACTTTAATATTTAATTGGAAGACATTAATCTTAAATAATGGGGTGTAAATCCGCCTTCAATTCATTATCCAAGCAAAATACACTGGAAAGTAAATGCACAATGCAATGAAATTCGAGGTCGGACACATTTCACCACAAAGGCCACTCAAAAACTGACATTCTAAGCAGTTGATCTGAAACAAAATTGGTGTATGACCATGGACTAGAATAGCAAACCTTTTAGACAGGATGAAATAGCTTCTGTAATTACTTCAACCAAATACTCATTTGACAGTCACTCTAGCACTGTTTACTTTTACTGTCGAGTAGGAATAAATTGGTATTCTCAATCAACAGAGTCAATATTAACATCCAGTTTAAGTAGCACCTGATTTTTTGCTCTTTAAATCAAAGCTGCCAAAGCGACACTACATTGTTGAACATCAGGATATTCCTTGTTTTTCTAGCTTTATGATATAATCTGGACAGGGGGTAATTATCACATAGATAAAAGGTAAAATTCTCCTCCCAAACACCAGTATTGATCTCCTCTGACAAAGTTAGCTTAACACCTGCCCTCTAATTTCATGCCATTATTTTATCTCTTGTTAAAAAAATAAAACATCCCAGTGTAATCTCACTTGCCATAACCTGCAGACATTTCTACAATACTTTTTTCGTAATTGCCATTAGCAAAATGGATTTTTTTCAACTTTGTTTCTGAAAAAAATAATGTGTTATTGATTTTTCGTAATTAGTTCCTGCAAGCTCCTAAGGACTAGAAACAGTGATCTGTCCATAGAAAAGCTTTAGAATGCATTACTTAAAAATTGAATTTACAGGTTATCAAGCCGTTTGTCCAGGAAAAAAACAAAATCGCAAGGAATTTTTCATAAAATCCAATCTTCACTGGATAGTCCACATTCCAAATCACATTAGAAAATCAATAATTTTTAAATTCCCAATACAGCATCTTTTCCGACTTTGAAAACACTATCCAAATTTTTATTTAATCTGAATTTAAATGATAAGTAGATGTTATAATAATCCCTTTCAATCCGTGATAAATCCGATTCTGACCACACCACGAGCCCCACTCATTTCTACCACAGTGGAATGTGAGAAGGGCCTATTGCTACTTCTGTATAGTTTTTCTTGTCTGTAGAGGGTATTAACTATCAATTCACCCTGCTAGCCTATCTAATCACTGAGCAAGCATTCAGATAGTATATTTCAGAATTCACCACCATGTCTGTTTGCATTTAACGGAGGAAATTGGCCGATAGAATTTAAAAAACTTGGTGATAGGTTTGCTCTGCTGGGTTTCAATGGATTCTCTTATTATCTGATCAAGTAAATAATGTTTACAACTGTAAAACAAAATAGGGGTGCAGGTAATTTGATAAGGTATGAATTTCACACAAACATTTTACAATTGGAAGATTCAAATTTATCTTTCCATATATCTTGCAACCACACTTAAACTGTCTTATTTTGCATTCATAGCTTAATGTCTCTGTTAAATCATGTTAAGTTTTACATATTAATTCCCAACATGTCTTTTTTCAAAGACCAATTATCACCATAAAGTTCCTCTGGAATTTAACCACAATGCTAAAGAAGTCAAATATTTGCTTTGAAAGCTAATATGGGACAATTATTTGAAATAGCTTTTTGTCCAAGTTAACTTTTTCTTTCAATACATTGTATCAACATAAAAAAAAAAGTCAGACCACAAAATGATAGACCACACTGTTATAATGAAAAGCTATATTGATACAAGTATACACTTTATAATCAGGGGTTAAACTGCTTCAAACTTTTACTAGTACTTGTTCTTTTTAAAACTAAACTTGGACCAACCTCAGAATATGGAAAATCTTTTGAGGAATATTTATGTACCTTTCATTTAAAAGAAAGAAATCTATTAATTATATAATACATACCACTGACTTAAAAACTGATCAGACACTAAATAGTAAATTATGTGTGAATTTTACTCAAAATTGTACTTGTTAAATAATTTGGTACTTAGGGGTATATTCTTTATGATGCAAGTGCAAACAAATTTCAAAAGTCAAGATGGTTTTTGCTGCCCCCCCCCCCTCCCCCCCCCCCCCCCCCCCCCCAATAATTCTGATATATTCTTGATAATTTATCTTTTTTTATTTCATTTTGATATTCAATCAAATATTTTATATTTTAGTAATAACTATGCTCTGAAAATCTTTTTTGCATTAATACATGTAATAAATTCATCAACCAGTGGAAATCTTAAATATATGTCGCTAGCATTTAAAACACTTCATTTTATAATGTCATGTTTTTTCCTGTTTCAATATCTAAGGAGGGAAATGAAAACATGTACCAACATGACCTTTTTAAAGTTAGGAATTAATACCTCAAGAGTTATCTTTCCATGGCTGACAAATATTTAATGTTAACAGATTAATCACAAGAAAACTTTGATTAAAGACTCAAGTCTTTGTATTTTGCTGAATATTAAACCAAGCTGTTTTCCGAAAGTATTAGGTGAGAAACAACATCACCATTTTAAAGTCTATTTAAACACAGAAAGCCAAAAGAAACAAATCATATACCCTTTGGCTTAAAAAAACCATTTACAGAGATAATGTCTTAATGTCTTCCCACATCACCATTCCTGGATCTAGCTGGAGGGTCAAGGGGTCTGAACTACCCCTGGGATTCTGAGTTTCAAATTTTTATAGTAAAGAAAAGAAGACCTTTTTTTTAATGGGTATGGAACACCCCCCCCCCTTTCCCACAAAAAAATTCCTGGATCTGTACATGATCACAATCACTATTGCCTCAAATACAAAAGATTGAATTTTTTTGTCATAGAGCCCCGTCTCCCCATTCTCTCTCTCTCTCTCGCTCTCTCAATGTCAGGACTCACTTCTTCAGCCTTGTTTCCAATGTCTGCCCTGCATGCCTTGATTTCTGCCTCGTTAGACTTGACCTGGTCCTCTCTGCGAGACAGTTCCTGTTCGAGAGCAGCTCCTCTGGCCTGTGATTGGTGGAGACTGGCTTCCAGAGTTCCCAGCTGATCTTGGAGTCGACTGGTATCTGACTTGTGTCGTTGATGAGAACCAGCTAAATTCAGCTGTAACTGCTGAATGCTTTGTTCTAGGCGATCAATCTGAAAATAGAAATGTGAATGTGTTACAAATGATTTCATACATCTACAAACTCTTCAAATATTTTTCATCAATTTTGGTTATAAAAATGGATCTTTTAATTCTATGATTATTCTAAGCTCAAGCATTATACAACTATGAAAATATAAATTTTCAGGAAAAAGAACTTCTAGATTATTGTTTAACTTGAAAAAAAAAAGGAAAGAACTCTTAAATATTACTACTTGTAAAATATCAGTCAATCTGCATGCAAAATATTTATATCAATGCATATCTGGATGGTTTCCCATGAAATAGGACTAATAGACTCAATACACTCATTTCAACAATTAAAATACTAGTAGTATAAAATGCACACCTCTTTCATAGCACTATTCTTCTGTTCCCTGACTGATGCCAGCTCAACCTTCAGGTCGTTAATTTGATCCTGGTAGTCTCCCAGCATGTGAAGCTTGTTTTGCAGTTCATTTCTGACTTCCTCTACCTCAATCTCCAATGAAGATATCTTATCCTCTCTCTCCAGATACTGCAAAAAAAGACAGGATTATTGGCCTTTGTGTTTTAAAAATATATCTGCACAATAGAATTTTAGAACGTTGAAGCTGGTTCCCACCTCCTGATCTGTGTGGCTGTGATCTCCTTTATACGTCAGCAGCTCATTCTCCAATGCTCTTGCCCTCTGATCATTTGCTAGAGACTGCAAAATACATGTATATTTAATAGTATGTTCTATGAAAATACTGAAATAGCTATTGAATATAAAATATCACCTGCTGAGACAGATGCATACAGTAACTGAACACAAATGTAACAGAAGTTTCATCAGAAAGACAATATATTAATGATCTCCAAGCCTTGATATTGTACCTCAGCTGTAAGGTCATTGATGCGGTCCTTGAGGTTCTTGATATTCTCCTCACACTCGCGGACTCGATTCTGAGACAGAGAGAGGTCCTCCTGAGATGCGTTCAGTTCCTGAGTCAGCTGATCCACCACATCCTCACACTTCTGTACCTCATGTTTCGTGTCATTATACATCCTATCCATGTTCTCATAGTCGTTCTTCAGACTCTCAATTCTCTGATCCTTCTCCAGTTCTTTGTTCCTACTATCAGTAAGTCGTTCCTGTAGGGTCTTCACAGACTCCTCCAGGCCAGCTATCTCGTTCAGGGCCTGGTTGTATTTTTGTTTATATGCATTCAGATTAGCATCCAATTTCTGGGCATCTTCTCGGGATGTGTCCACTTGGTCTTCCAGAATGATCACCTGCTGTTTCAATTCTGTGATTTTGTTTTCCTGCTCCTCCAGAGTTTCAGACTGCCTCAACATCTTATAGATGGAGATTATAAGAAGATAGTTAATACAAGTATCTGCATTCTTGATCTTACAAAACATTATCTTTGAAAAATAAATACTGTATAATTAGAATTTTTTGCGAGGATTCAATTTTGGCATAGTTAACAAGTTTTAAAATTGCTAACAATTTATTCTGCATCTAAGGTAAAAGTTATCTTTCTTGGCCTTATAAAATCACTAAATTTGCATCTCACTAAAAATTCTACTTATACAGTACATGAACACAAATTTGAGAATAAAAAAAAGAAAATCTATAACAAAGTTTTTAATTCATTACCTCTCTTGTGCTGTTGTCCTGCTGTTTGCCCATTCGTTCGATGTCATCTGACATATTAGTGATGGAGTTCCTTTGTTCCATCACTGTGTTTTGACTCTCACTAAGGTCAGATTTTGTCTGTTGTAAGTCCTTTGAAAGGATCTCCATGTCTGACTGAAGACGGTGGATTTCCTGTTCGTGGTTGCTCCGAGAGATCTGCAGATCCGTCTTCAATTGCTCAATAGTTCGCAAATGATTTTTCACCTGGTAGAGAAATTAATAAAAATTTCATTGGATGTAGGAATTTTATACAAATTTCAATGTATAATTTTTTTTATCATAAACTTCAGTTTGATCTCCAGGAAATGAAGTGCTTTATGTTTTGTGTTTTTAGTTCATTACTTCATGAACATGGATTTGTTAAAAAAAAAAAAAAGAATCACTGCACTGTATTTCATTAACCTAGAATTTACTCATTTTTTTTTCTTTTTTCACAGACCAGAGACTGACATGTTAGTTGTTATATATAACTACAGTAAATAATCTAATGTGAGTTCCACACTTTGTTATTTAACATTAACACAACATCAAGATTATCCCAACATATCAGGAAAAGATAAACATATCCTCGACTGCATCCAGAAAAGTCATATACTCTCTCAGAAAATCATCGAGTTAGCTATAACTTAACTGAAAACTCTGTTCCATAAAAATTTATATTCAATACATGCATACAGAGCCAAGTTGTTATTGTGGTATTATGAATAACCGATATTGATTGATGTCAAAATATAAAATGCATTAAATGAAATACGTTCATCTGTCCAGAGTAAAGTGTTAGTATTAATCACAGTTTTGTTAACTGTTAGTAATTAACCATGGAAACATACCTGCTGATCTCTCTAAATAAATCATATATAACTGATGGTTAAATTGTGCCATTCTATGTGTAAAAAGGCTGGACAAAACATTACAGCAGATAACCACAACTAACTAATAAATCATGATTTCTAACAATCTCAATTACACGAGCACAAAAATTCACCGGCCATAACCAAAGCAAAATAAGTATGGTGCACTTTGATTTTTAAGCTCTACCTAGGACAGATTTTAGATCACATTAACTCTTCCACCAATATATTTTATCTGTTACTTAATTAGGCCCACCACAAATGTAGTAGCTGAGATTTTAATTTCATGTACCATCCCCTGTTTCACTATACCTTAGCCACATTAATGAGGCTTCAGTATAATTGAATGACATTAATAACATCTCACAGTATATTCTACAATGCTAGGTTTAATAGCCCCAAAAACCACAGGTTAAATTTAAACATCCCCTCCTTCCTCATTTCAACGTCTTGAAAACTTGAAGGAACATGTATAATATTAGGGTTCAAAGTTTCGAAATGAAACATATTGGCATGCAGTGCCCGGAACATAGATGCATAAACTTAAAAATATCACCATCTCAATTTGAATCTTTGTTCATGCAAAATTCTGTGAACATTACCTCTTTACTGAAGGATTTTCCATCAGTTTCCATCCTTGCATATTTAAATGACAATCTCATTATCACATCATTTATCTTTTTACAAATACAAATCCCTATCCCAGAGTTAAAAAATTCTAATTGTAAAATATAAAATCATAATCTTTTAATATAAATTCTATAATATCAAGGATGAAAAACTGAGGTTTAAATTTGCTGAACAAAGAGAAAGAAGAACTTTGCATTATCATCTTTGATATATTTTTCTGAAGTCATTAAAACTGACTTGCTGCTTCATATCATTCCAATTTTTACAGTGGCTTTATGCTATACAAAAGCAGTTGAGATAGCACATCTATAAATACTGTGCATGTTGAACACAATCAAAACTGTCACTGATATATACACACCTCCTGGAGAGAAATTTCCTGATCATGTTGAAGTTTCTGAATAGTTTTCTCATCACCAGCAATCTAAAATTTTAACAAATCAAAACAAATGTTCATCCTTTTTAAAAATCATAAATAGTTGTCATCAGTTAGAAAATCTAACATTTATATGAATTGCATGATTAGGCTCGTCACCTTCTGAGAGTCTCCTTCAATCTGTGCATTGAGGTCACGAATCTCCTGCTGTAACTGTTTGACCTTGTTATTCAACCTTATGACCTCATCCTCTCTTATATTTAGCTACAAAATAAACATCAGCTCATAATAACATGGTACATTACTGAGATTTACACAGAAAATATCCAAGATAAGAGAAGGCTTTTGATTGGTTACCTCTTCCAAACATCCTGTGTACTTCTCCTGTGTGGTGTCAAGGTCGGTCTGAAGCTTCAGTATCACCTGATCTCTGTTGGCTACCTATTACACATACAATAATAAACACTGACTATCAAATTAGAAAAAAAGGAAATATTTGTATTTAGATGCCAGAGAAAAGGAACTTATGATCAAAAATGATGTGAAATCCTTTTTTCATATTCCATAAATCTTTTATCAAAGGGAGATAATTTGTTTAAGAGTTTCTGATTTTTATATTGTTTATACTGACCTCTTTCTGGCAGGTTCTGTGTTTCTCCTGGGAGATGGTGAGCTCTAGCTCGATCTGGTGAAGCTGGTCCTGAAGTTGACCAATTTCCTGAGAGTTAGCCTGAGATGCCTGGTTCATGTGAGAGTTGTCATTCTTCAGACATTGGATGTCATCCTCAGCCTTCAACAGCTTCAAAGAAAACAGGACTGAGTAATGCATGTAATTCTTTAGAAGATGGACAAAAAATACACATAATTAATACTGAGTAAAGAAATGAAATGGGGGTGGGGGATTAAATATGTATATTAAGACACTGGCAAGGATGTATCACATCTGACATATTAAAGCAAAAAAATTTTTTGAGGATCTGACGTTTTGCCAATCTAAAAAAAAAGTTCTAACAAGGAATGAGAAATCTATGGACATCTGAATGTTATTTCTGACACACCCACACTCATCACAACATACTTCTATTTAACAAAGACACACCTCATTATAGCAGGCACTGTACTGAGCCTGAGACTCCATCAAGTCCTCCTGTAACTGCTTAATGCTCTCATCCCTTCTTCTGACCTAGAAACAGAAATCATCATATTAAAATCTGTCACCTTTAGGTGCATTTTGAATCATCTTAAGATGTTTTCTAAGGAAACCAATGAAAATCTAGTACAAATCTGACCTCTTCATCAGAATTGTTGCGGGCAGCATCCAAATCCATGTGGCTCTTTGTGAGTGCCTCCTGTAACTTCCTGATTGTCTCCCCTTGTTTTTGGACTTCTCCCAATTTTTCTTGGTGCTTAGCCTTCAGTTTTCCAATTTCATTGTTTAATTTCTGGATGGTATCATCTCTAACCACCACCTGTAATTAATTTCAGTACGTACATTTCTATTTCTCATAAGTTTTGTAGAAAGTGATTCAAAATGTTCTTTCCACACATAAGTGATTAAACACACCTTGCTGACTGTATCTTTCTGCTGCTTCTGTAAACCTTCCACATCTTTCTTCAGGTTGTGTATCAAATCATCTTTTGTGTTGTTCTATAAAATTTGTAGAAATCATTATCAAACAAGAAGTCTGTGAACCACTGCTCACTAATAATACCCCCGCTCTGATGTGAATACACAAGTTCAGTTATGGACAGACACAGTGATAATCAGGAAATTGACATCGGATTTGTACAAAAAATGAATCCCAACATATAGCATGCCTAAACAAAGAGTGTGTTAAAATTTCAAGCATCTGCGATGAGTAGTTGCTGAGAAAAGTGCCACCCAAATTTGTTATGTATGCTACGGACAGACGCACGGATAAACAGGAAGTTGACATCGGATTCAAACAAAAATGATTCCCATCATATGGCATGCCTAAACAAAGAGTGTGCTAAAATTCCAAGCATCTGCGATGAGTAGTTGCTGAGAAAACTGCGACCAAAATTTGTTAAGTATGCTACAGACAGACACACGGATAAACAGGAAGTTGACATTGGAATTGTAAAAAAATGAATCCCACCATATGGCATGCCTAAACAAAGAGTGTGTTAAAATTTCAAGCATCTGCAATGAGTAGTTGCTGAGAAAACTGCAACCAAAATGTGTTACGGAGAGACAGACAGACAGAGGGATGGACAGACAGGCAGACACACAAGGGTAAAACAGGATACCCCCTCTCCTGCGGAGCGGGGATATAAATATGTGTTCAAAACAACCTCACAGCAAAATAGTAATCATTACAGATGCACAGAAACCAATTTAGTACTTATTCTAATTTAACAAAACCCATTCCTGGCACTTGTTTCATCAAATCAACACTTACTGATTGCTGAAGCTTTTCCACTTGAGACTGGACAGAGGTCAGTTCTATATTTAGCTCCCTGACCTGGTCCTCGAGACGATTGATCTCGTCGAGCTGATGAGCTCCTCGCTTCTTGGACTCCTCTAAATTGTGCTCCAGATTACTGATAATTCCTCGCTTGGTGTCCAGCTGCAATAGTAGAAGAAATATTTAAAACAGGCCCAACATTAACTCAGAGTGGCAAGAGAGTGACTCTTATCTAAACAGACAAAGAAAAAGAGCATTTTTATGGTTATAATTAAACTCACCTCTGATTGACTGGTCCTCAGATGCATCTTCATTTGGTCTAATTCTCTCTCCAGTTGATTGACCTAAAGCAATGCAAATGTACACAAAATATAGAAGTATACAATTACCATAATTCTATCAATCATTATATGGTTTTAAGATGAAAATCAAATTTTACAAAGGTTTTATCTCTTCATATCAATACATCCAATCCTCCAAAATGTCATGACTTTGAAGTACTCCCAATAAATCTGCCAATGAATGGAATAAATTAAGTCTTACCTTCTCCTCAAAGCGACTGTTGGCCTCTTGCATGTTAACATGCTCCATTTTCAATCTCTTGATAACATCCTCTCTTCTTTTGACCTGATAATTAACAACTAATCTTTATTTCCACCTCCCACTCTCAGGCAAAAACTATAAACATTTTTAACGTGAAAACTTCTCTAGTTCTTTGTATACTCTGCAAATAGTAAGAATTGAAAATTTAAAATAACTGACCTCTGAACTAAGAACATCCTGTTCACTCTGTGCATTGATGGCGAAGGCCTGGATCCGTGCCTCGAGGCGGCCATTTTCCTCCACTGCCTCTTTGTACTGCTGTTTAACCTGGGCAAGATCCACCTCGTACTGCTGGATGCTTATTTCCCTCCGAGAAAGCTGCAGCAGAAATATCAGTATATGTAAGCAATGCAACAGTTAAATCATTCCCTCTTTGTAAGGTTCTGTATACTTTATAAGTCTTTCTACATTTAACAAAAATCTTATTCTAATTTAATATCATACAAATATATTAAAAAATTGAAAGTTCAAAATTAATAGTTTTAATACTTACAGTATCTTCCACATGTCTTCTTTCATCCTGAACGTTCCTGAGTTCATGGTCAAGATTTTTTAATGAGGAGTCTTTACGAGATAACTGTTCCTGTAGATCTGCTATGTCCTTGTTCAGTCTCGCAATCTGATCATCTCTGTTGATCAACTAAATAGAAACAAAGCTCATTTCTTATTGGTCATTTCAAAACTACATTTACTAAAAATAGAATTAACTAGAAATATGTCCATAGGACATGAATGCCCCGCCGAGGGTATATTAGTAATGCAACATTTTAACACAAATTGAGAAAAGTGCGGTCAAGGTCAAAGGAAAGGTCTAGGTTAAAAAATATTGATGCAGTTGAATAGCTTACATCAGTATGTATCAGCATATGAAGTTTGACACTAATTTAAGAAAAGTGAGGTCAAGGTCAAAAGAAAGGTCAAGGTCAAAAAATATTGATGCAGTTGAATAGTTCTCATCAGTATGTATCAGCATATGAAGTTTGACACTGATTTAAGAAAAGTGAGGTCAAGGTCAAAGGAAAGGTCAAGGTCAAAAAATGTTGATGCAGTTGAATAGCTCTCATCAGTATGTATCAGCATATGAAGTTTGATAACACTATCTTGAATGGTATCTTTAAAACTGAGCTAAAACTTATTTCAGAAAAGTGAGGTCAAGGTCAAAGGAAAGGTCAAGGTAAAAAATATTGATGCAGTTGAATAGCTCTCATCATTATGTATCAGCATATGAAGTTTGTTAAAAATATCTTGAATGCTTTCATTAAAACTGAGCTAAACACTAATTTAAGAAAAGTGAGGTCAAGGTCAAAAGAAAGGTCAAGGTCAAAAAATGTTGATGCAGTTGGATAGCTTACATCAGTATGTATCAACAAATGAAGTTTGATTACATTATCTTGAATGGTATCTTTAAAACTGAGCTAAACACTAATTTAAGAAAAGTGAGGTCAAGGTCAAAAGAAAGGTCAAGGTCAAAAAATGTTGATGCAGTTGAATAGCTTACATCAGTATGCATCAACATATGAAGTTTGATTACACTACCTTGAATGGTATCTTTAAAACTGAGCTAAACACTAATTTAAGAAAAGTGAGGTCAAGGTCAAAGGAAAGGTCAAGGTCAAAAAATGTTGATGCAGTTGCATAGCTCTCATCAATATCTATCAGCATATGAAGTTTGATAAAAATATCTTGAATGGTATCTTTGAAACTGAGCTTTGAACAGAGCTAAACGCAAAGTGTGACGGAAGGACAGACGGAAGGACGGAAGGACAGAAGGACGGAAGACGGACATGACAAACACTATATGCCCCGGCCATATTCATGGCGGGGCATAAAAATGTGCCATTAATAGTGCTCACCCATTAGTGTTCTTTCTTAAGCTTGCTTATGTACTTTTTTTTGCTTTGTAATATTTTTTATTCATCCCACAATGACAGGTTCTTTTTAGTGTTATCTTTGGTTGTGATCTGTACCTGATTTCCATTCTGTGCCAGTTTTTCATGTAACACTGAGATTTCAGCCTTGAACCTGTGTAGATCTTCCTCCCTCTCAGCAATGTCCGACTTGAGTATAGTTTCCTGTTGGCTTGTGGTCAGGTCCCGTTCCTGGATGACCGTCTGAAGTCTGTCCACTTCTCGTGCCTGGGCAGTGTAACGACTATTGGCCTGCTGTAGTTCTTGATCCAGGGAGTCAATCTTCCTCTGAGATTCTTGTACCTGACAAGAAAATTCAATAATCTTCAATAACCTTAAACTTTTAGAATTTTACATTTCTCCACAAACATTTGATGTAAAATGTATTGTGTTCTAATTTCTCATCTCAACTTTCCTCTTCAGATTAGGAGGACCAAATATGACCATGTATTGTAAATTGACATAAAGAATTTACAGTTGAATTTAGATATCCTGAATATCATGGACATGTCAAAGTGGGTTGAAAGTCCCAACCACAATTCTTTATGTACTTTAACTTGATATCTTAAATCCTTGGCTCCCTAAGTAATTCCTCAGTCCCATGTAGTTAGAGATAACAAAGTTTGACTGAAGTTTTCTTGGAAAAATAAAGTGTATTTTTTTTTACTTATCAATACTGAATAACCTGTAACAAGTAAGTACATATATACTGTCTGATCTCCTCCCTAAGCTGTTTTATGATAAGTATATATTACTTACCCTTCCCTGGTGCTGAGTAAGTATATATTACTTACCCTTCCCTGGTACTGTTTGATTTCCTCCCTCAGCTGTTTAATGACTTCCCCCCTGTGAGATGCCGAGGCTAATGCCTCCCTCAATTTCTCCTCAATCTCACGATTCTCATTCCTCAGTTTCACAATGTTGTCATGTCTCTCTGCCACCTAAACACAAATGTCAAGAAGTCCATTAAAACAATGCCAGTGTTGCTATTCTCTGCTTGATGGTGATTGTTAGTGAGGTAGTTAGTAAATCGTTAAGACATTCAGTAAATCATTCAAATTAATAACAAAAAAAATCACATTCCATTCAGAATAAAAAAGTTATTTCAATGAGTTATATTGCAGATTTTCAGCTTGAAATTGGAATTAGTGGAATTTATTAAAAGCTATCTCAAACTTTCAGAACAATTCAGATGGACATTTATGAAAAAGACTGGAACAAAAGGCACTAAATATATGAGTTAACATCTATCAGATCTGAATTTTGATGAAGAATTTCTAAAGTAGCATGTGCATATCTATATTTTTCTATTTCAAAATCTAATTAAAGTGCAGATTGGTTAAATGAAATCTATTTAATCCCCCAGTTGACTAATAATGAAAGTGAAGAAATCGGAATTTAATTAAGATGATTTTTTTTTCACTCCATCATTACATTTTTAAGAACATTTGTACAGGTCTGTATGCATTTTCATAAAACATGCATGCAATATGAAGAGAGTATATATATGTAGTATATTTTGGTGGATAAAAATGTGCGAAACTTACACCAGGTCTACCGTAGTCATACATCTTAAACCACAAAACAGAAGAATTAAAACCTAAATTTACCACTACTACAACACACACTAACTGAGAATAATTAGAAATGTGCTTTAGTACATTTTGTGCAATTATGTGCAATGAATTTAAAGTGTTTTAGATAAACTGTATGACTTGATGATGTACCAAGTATTCTAAATTTCTTGTCACAGGAATTAAAATGCTGAATTCATATAACCAGCAATTTTCTTTGTAAATACATGTACTTATAACTCAAAAGAATAAACTCTGGATTATTTTATTACTGTAGTCTTTTAAAACAGTCATTAGTTTTACAAAGTACATTTAACAAGTATACGCAAACATAGTTCGTCCTAGTTTGTCATTGCAAATGAAATAATCACCAATTTCACATTTATCTGAAATTTACTTAACAAAAACCCATACAAAGTGCAGTGGGTTACTTTAAGAAAACATCATTTCTTTTTTATTAATTTTGATATTTATCTACTGAAGAACTGTGCAAATGATTAAAAATATACTAACAACATACATGCTTGCTTGAATTAATTCTGAAATGAAATGTAGACATACCTCTGAGGTCAGACAGTCTCTAGTGTCCTTGGATGAGATCTGTAATTTCTGGAGGCTGTTGGTCAGTTTCTGAATCTGAAAAATGGTCAAAGATGACATCTTATCTAAAGCTTCAAAATGGAAGTCTGACTGAAAGAACTAAAGACTGCAGGTTAAGATCAGTAAATTTATGAAGAAAATGACTAGGTTACTTAAAAAATAATTTAGTAATTGAAATTCATTTCTTTTCAACCAAAAAAATATGTTTTCATTATAGGGCAAAATATGTTTTCATTATAGGGCACATTGTCAATATTGCTTTGATGGTAATACATGTTAGATGAATCGAAGGGGTTAACGCCTGGTGCTGCGGGTAGGGAATAGATATTCTTTACTGTATTAGAAGTATAAAAACAAGAGGCCCATGGGCCACAATGCTCACCTAAGTCATTATGACCTGTTGATTTTTCCCCCTATATTTTCCTATGTAAAACTTTCAACACCCATTGTGGCCCCACTCTATTCCAAGGGGTCATGATTTGAACAAAACATAATCTACACTACCTGAGGATTTTTCCAAATAAATATAACTGATCATGGGTTTGCTGTTCTTGAGAAGAAGATTTTTAAAGACCTTTCCTATATATTCCTAACTTGTTTGTCCATTGTGGCCCACCCTACCCCAGGGGATCATGATTTGAACCTACACTTCGTAAAGAAGCTTTCACGTACTTTTTATCTTTTCTGGTCCAGTGGCTCTTGAGAAGAAAAGATGCCATTAAATTTTCACTAATTCTTAATTATTTCCCCTTGAAATAGGGTATGAGTCTTCATCTGAAAAAACTACAATCCTCTTCACCCAAGGATGCTTTGTGTCAAGTTTGGTTGAAACTGGCCCAATGGTTGAGAAGAAGTTGAAAATGTGAAACGTTTACAGACAATTGGGCTGACATCAGACAAAATGTGATCAGAAAAGCTTGAGCTTTCAGCTCAAGTGAGCTAAAATTGAAAATGCATATTCAACTACCAATAACAGTGTAATGCTTCAGACATACTTTTTTTCAACATGAAGAGTTTGTTTTCTTTATAAAAAAGCTTTATAATTATCCTTGACAAGGCTTTCTACAGTATCATGTTTTGATAACTTTGTACATTACAACATGCAATTCTGCTTATGTGACAACATTTATATAAGCACAGAACATGCAGCACATAAATGCCAACTGATTTTCATTAGGATTTATCAATTGAAGAAAAAGTATACTGTTGATCATGCAATGTTTATGTAATCACAAGTGAAAAAAAAGAATGATATGGATGAATATGTAAAAAAAAAAAAAAAAAAAAAATCAATGAAAACTAAATTCAATGATAAACAAAATCAATGCCCCCATTAAAATCCTACAACCAAGCCTCAAGACAAGGGACATAACCACTGTACTATCACCCTGTGAACCATTCTGTTAGCTTTCTACTTGTTAAATTTATTACAATACAGACCAACACAAAATAAAACTCAAACACCAGACTATACATAACAAAACCATTAATAAATAGTGAACAATATATATATATATATATATATATATGCACAAGTATTGCCTTCTGCAGATTAAATTGTTAAGAAAATAATAAATGCATTCCACAGACAATTATACATACAATACTTGGCAAATAAAAAAAAACATAAGCTAGGATTAAAAAAAGCTAAGCATGTGCAGGTCACTAGACTGTGGAGCATTTTGCCGCATTCTACCTGTGCCAAAGAGTCAGCATGTTGAGAGCGCAGAGATTGCATTTCTGCTTCCATTCGCGACATCTTGGTTACTGTTGAACTTGCCTGCATGGATTTAATATATTTCAACAGATGAAGAAAGTTAGCAGATTAACGTGAAGAATTTTAATTAAGGCTCTGGCTATACTTGTGAACGCTGAGTTCTGGCACAAATTAAATTTGTTAACATCTATTTCTTCTAGAGAAAATTATGTTATTTCTAGAGAGAAATTTCCTCTTTTGATAACTTAAAAAAGCATTTGCTATATGTATTGGGGGAATCTCATGTACATATTTGTTAAACTTCAGAGTACAGTTTAAAAAAAGGTGAATTCAATTGTAAACAAGCTCTATATATACAACAGCTTGGGAGGGATAGACAATTAATTTTATCTGCTAAAAATAGAGAATATTAAAATCAGATATGGTATTAATGCAAGGATTCACCAGATATATATTAGCTGATATAGCTGCTCAATAAAAAAAAACACCGCTGAATATAATATACAAGTCCGACCTTTGAACTCAGAATAATGGCTTACATGAAATTTACTGTAGAAAATAATGAGTTGTGTTATTTTTAACATTGTTTTTACTTACATCAACCCTGGCTTCATCATAAGCCTTCTTACAAGATGTCAGTTCATCCTCAAAAGCTTTGTTCTTAGCTTCCAGTCTATGAATCTGAAAGCATTCAATAAAATTCATGTAGAAAAGCACAAGAAAGTGCTTTGTATAACCACTTTATTCAGAGGCAATTAAAAATAATCCATTTTTAGTTTTTTAGTGACTATTTTAAGTTTTAAATGATGAATATCAAGCAGAAATCCTAGACATATTACACAAATGATGTCATATGTGATATTCAGATATGACTTTAAGGGAGTACTAATTAAATAGTGCCACTCCAGGAAAGCAAACAATAATTGTATACAGTAACAGTATTAAAAGTTTATAAAGATGTAACGGGGTTATAACTGAAATCTAACATTGTTAAGTACATTTACACAATTCTGAAGAAAATGTCAACTCATTTTTATAGACTTCAACAAAAACAGACCAATTATATAATTTACATACAGTTTTTTTTTCTTTAAGTTGAAGTCTGTGTCAGAGAAGGCTAAGAACTATATAAAAACCACAACAAAACTGAACTAGCCATGCCAAAAAAAAGAGTATTTACATGCTTGGTTAATTCATACATGGTAATAAATAAATAAACATAAGCTGACCTGTTTGAAATGAAATTAAAGGGTAGAGTTAATTTGGTTTGCGTGAAGAGAGGATACAACACAATGTGATTATATTAGTATACACAAAGCATAGGACCACCCAGATTACCTCGTCCTCTAAGTGTTTTTTCTGGTCCTTCATTTGATTGACATTACAAGACTGTTGGTCCAGCTAGACAGACAAACAGACGATACAGATACAAATCCGAATATCTATAGCATTTACATTGAAATATGATGCCAATAGCTACTTTTAAAAAAATGCTTGACTGATTGTTGGCAGTTTTATGAAAAAAAGCCACTTCTTTTGCATATATTAATAACAACTTTTGGCAGGTTAAGTTTTCTTCTCCCCTAAGATTTAAACATTGAACCTATATGATCAATTTTTTCCCCATCCCACAAATGTAGAATTTTATCCCAGATGAACTTTAACAGTGATCAATTAAACTGTCAAAAAGACAGTCAGATGGGTCTGAAAAAAATGGCACATGTCCCAAACTGCTGGGATACAAATCCTATGAAGTACATGTAATAACCTACTAATTGGTAAAATGCTGAGCAATATTTGTGTAGCAAACTACTTTCACTTTTATAATGTACAAAAACATAACTGTGATTCATTAAAATTTCATAAACAGTAAACTTCTCAAGATTTAAGATTTCATTAACTTAAGCTTGGAATATTATACATAATTGCCGACTATCACTGCAGTTCTAATCTATATGCCTAACTACTAGAATTCATCAACGCATTCATACCTCACTAACTGCAGCATCTCGTTTTTCCTGGAGTTGAAGCACGTCTCGTCGTAGTTTTTGTATTGTATCATCTCTCCTAGCCAACTCAGACTTGAGCACTTCATGGTGATCTTTGGTGGATAACTGACTTTCCCGAATTCTCTCTTGAAGGATACCCATCTGTAAACAATCAACTCAACTTCAAAGAAAATTATACAGTGACATGAAAACACAATTTCTATAATTTTTTTATCATTAACATTTGAGTTTTTCCACATCTTTTTTTTTTTTGTGGGGGGGGGGGGGGTGTATTTCATTTTAATTGTTAACCTTACTTTTTTCTTATCTCCAACTTTTATATATTTGGAGATTCAAGCTATGTCAGTAAGCCTACAGATCAATACAATTTCTATTATTGAATTGAATATAGTTTTAATAACCTAACATTACATTGCTGTATTGCACTATATTATAAAACTGCATTTCATGTCAGTAAATCCAATATAGATAACTTTATTTTAAACATAACCCTCTGTAGCTATCACACTATACCTCCTCCAGGGCCTTCCTTCTCTGGTCTTTGGATTCATGGAGCTCATTTTCTAATGTTCGGATTCTTCTTTCATAGTGATTTACCTAAAATGTGTACAAATTACATTTATATATCAATTCATGGATGAGATAACGAGCAATAAATGAAGAAATACAATTACATACAGCATTACCCAAAATAGAGATTTATCAAATGGGGATGTGTTGTCCGATGCCATCAGAGAAAATATTTAGATAAACACATTTTTTTTCATGATACATAATTCACTGTTGTGCAATAAAGCAATTTAACAATTCAAAACTGATTCCTTCATACAGAAAATTTAATTCATGAACCAATCCACTCTGAAGCACATTTAATTTCATCACTGAATTTCTGAAAAAGTCAGCACAGCACTATTCAAAAGACACAGGGTGTAATCTTTTTTTTCCATTCAATACACTATTCCAGTTAGAGATATTCCTGTCAGATTGAATTTCACTCCTTGTGGCTGTAACTAATTACTTAAGTACAATCCAGGATCCAGCCATTGTGTATTAATTTTTGAAAATGGCTAAAAAATAATTATTTTTTCATTCAAGGTGTCCTTGGCATGTTTTTGTAGTTTGCAGAAAAAGGCCCTTCTTAAATCAACATTCTTTGGAAGCCTGAACTTCGCACACACACCAGCTTATACCAAAATGTTCATAGAGGAGAACCAGATAATGTTTAAAACTCCATAAATCAATATTGATCAAGATTTACCCATTCATATTATCCAAATACAGTCTGGGACAATTAGATAAAAAATATCAAATAGGTGTAAATTGAGAGTTCTTTGTGTTTTAATAGTCTATTATTTCATACTACATAATTCTGATAAAGACATTTCAGTAAGACTTTTTAATAAGGGCAATGGATTTAATGCTATTTGTGTTTACAATAGTCACTTATACATAATTGTGATTAGGCATCTCTCTCTGCTTTATCCATGTCTATGAATAAAGTACATGTATTATTATGGTACTGAAGGTTCCAATTAGTTTAGACTAATAGGAATAATCAAAACATTGTGGCAGATGGGTTTTTGAAGATAAAATTTATGCAATAAATATAGAGACTCTATAGCTGTAATGCCATTTTTAGTAAAAGTTTTACAGTTTGTAACTTTGTCTCATAAAAGGTAAGAGTCTTTCCACTTCTAAAATGATCTTCCATTTTTTCCATCGTTTGGTGCTGAGATGTTTACCCTTAATTATCTGATTTTTATGTAAGAGTTTCTTCTTGTCAGTATTGGTATTTATATGTCCTAATGTTTTACAACAAAACATAATCTAATTAATGAATTGACTGAACCATACATTGATAACAGTTGGGTGGTACACATAATTGCCACAGATTGTTACCTATTGATTTAAATTCTGTTGGCACTAACAAAATGGAACAAGTCAGGACATGAATTTTTATTTAAATATCTGAGTTAACAGTCTTAAAATCTCTCAAGATTAAAAGTATAATTTTTTTTCCTGCAAAAAATAAATAAACTAGAACCTGATATCCACCTAAAGATACTATATGCATCTATCAATCTGATGTCATAAATTTATAACAAATTGATGTGTCTGAAAAAGACTTGCCAAAATAATGTGCAATTAAACTAATAGCAATATCTAATCATGCACTGCATATTGTTGAGGATTCTATATTTTCACATTTTCTTATTAAAAGCATAACAAACCACATCATAAAGCCATTATATCTATACTCCATGAGAACTTTTACTAAATTCCAATAAGATGTGATACATATGTATAATCTATTATGGAAAAAGTCATGCACTGTGAAATTCACTATTTTGATCTAGATATACCCATATATATAACCACTGAAATTTTATACTGTTTTTTTTTTTTTTTTTTTTTTTTTTTTTGCATTTAATTAAGAGATGCTACAATTTCAACGTCAACATTTCTTAAAAGATCTCCTTATAGAAATACATGTTTTACAAAAAGAGTAGCATCAGAAGTGTGATGGACATTTAAGCTGCTATGGACACTGGAGGGAAACTGAGAGCATGCCAAAGCAATGTCAACTTACTTTGTCTTGAAGACCAACCTAATTCCAGGACAAAATTACACAGTCAAAAATACTTCACCTAATCAGTACTTTTCTGCTTAAGAATTTACATGGTATACCATTATTATTACCACATAGTGCATTTAACTTTGTACGAGTTGCTAGGATACTTACATCATGTGATACTTGTGAGTACTTTTCTTTGCTCATGGAAAGCTCATTTCTCAACTGACGAATGGTATCATCTGCCTTTCCACTCTGAAAAAGAATCCCTTTTTATTGATGACTATGAAATTGTCGAGGAGGAAATGATGACCATACAAAACATAGACAACCTTTCACATTTCCCATTGTACAACCCCCCCCCCCCCCCCCCACCCCAAAAAAAACTTCATAATGACATCCTGTTCATTTAGATGTAGATAATCTATGAGATTACCTATTCCTTCCTATATCTTAATACAATTCATGTATTATTATGAAATTTATATCTAATTTAAGAATTGTTTAAGTTATTGTATAACAACTCTACCAATAATTGATTTGGTTGGCAGTAAGATACCAAGAAGAATACAGTTAAGGGTTATAATAACAGATCCCCAATTATCAGAGAACCTTATGGATTACCTCCCCTGCCAGGTAGCGCTGTTTTTCCTGCAGCATTTTGATTGATTGCTGATGTGTGGTGATCTCAGAGTCCCGTCTTGAGATCTCCTTGTGTAGATCATGTAACTGGGATTGTAGGGAATTCATTTTCCTTTCACGATTTGAAACCTGAAAATAAATTTTAAAAAACCTGCATTTCATTCAACACATAGTGAGCCCAATTGTTCAAACTCGTAAGCAATATTGAGAGATAGTAACGCAGAAAAATAGGAAAAAACTGCTTTTAATCATTGACCTGATAACCCCCCTGCCCCTCTTTTGATATTTCTGATGCTATATTCAAAAAATGACAATATTTCTTTACTAATTCAAAGACAGTAGCTTGTTATGTTTCCCTTTCATTACTACTGTTTCTGTGATCCATACACACCTCTAGCTGAAGGTCCTCCACTCTCTGTTCTGCTCGTCTGAGGTCCGTTTTGAGCTGCATGACAGTGTAGTCTTTATCTGACTGACTAGATGTGGAGGAATCGGCATCCTCTGGTCTCCTCTGGAAAGAATTTATTACTATACAGTTTAGCTCTAAGTATATATATGAATCTACCCTTAATCTGCATTTACAATTCAAAATACAATTAATTATTGATCTCCAACCAATTAGCTATAAAAAAAAATATCACAGCGGGAACTAAGCAGTACTAGATAAAAATCTGTGTATATTTACATGAAATACTGTAGATCATTTAATTTTCACGAAACCTTATTTTCGCGAGATTGTTATTTGGTATTTATAAGCAAGACAAAATTTTCACGAATTTCAGTCATTGCTCTATATAATACAAAAAAAAACGTGAGACTGAAATTTTCGTGAGCAGACAGTCTCGTGTAAATCTCATGAACAAAAAGTGATTTACGGTAATGTATTCAACATCGCTGTCCAAGTTACAAGTAGTTTACCTTAGAACGAATAGAGGCTTCTCTACTAAGCTGCTCCAGTTGTTCATCTTTCCTGCGTAACTGTTCCTTCAAGTTCCTGAGTTGTTCATCTAATGCTTCATCACTACCTCTGTATTTTTACAATTGCATTTTCATTTCAAACTTTAACATAAATTTAAACATTAGCTATTTTCATTAATCTATTGCTATATTTGACCCAAAATTGAGGTGCACACCACACAAGTGAAAACTATAAACACACTTTAATGGTACAGTGAAACTTGTCTAATCTGGATGTTGTGTATTCTGAAACCTTGCCCAATATGATGTAACATTTAGTCCATTTCTTTCAAAATGTTGTCCAAGGTGGAATGTTGCCTAATGCAACCAATTTCTTTGGAACCAGTGGTGTCCTGATTAGAGGAGTTTTACTGCAGTTCAACTTCTTTAAAATTCTTGAAAAAATACTCACATTCTTGTTAAAGGTTCCCTCACGACACCAAAGACTTGTTCCTTCGAAAGTTCACGAAATCGAACATTGTCAATCTGAAATACAAGATATTCCACATTACTTTGAATTCATTATATTACTGGCATTCCACTGTACAGAAATAAGAGTGAAATTTTACATTTTGCATGGACATCTTTACATCCACTGAAATATAATTTGACAATCAAAAAAAAAATATTTCAATGTTATTCTTTTACAACAGTGACATAAAGACTTATGTCTTAGTGTGAATTAATATTAATATTGTCTTAATTAGCTTCTTGAAAGGTTCAACAATACTAATTAATTCATCTACTTTTCAGGCCCTGTGCTCTGATAGAATCTTGAAAAGTTTGATAGGCTATACAATACTAGGTCTTGTGCCACCTTAAGCTCCTCCAGTGATTGCATCTTGAAGGATTTGAAAACCTAAACAATAGCATGTCCTGTGACTGAGAGGCATCCAATAAAAATAAGGATACAAATGCTGTAAGGCTAGATCAGGACTGTACACAAGTGCCCATGTCCAAAGAACAAGATACCATCTTGAGAGGTTGAGGGGTGACACACTTGGGCCATTCTGAACACTATGGATTTATTGCATCCTTGCTGAACTATCTAGTTAAAGCACTGGCACATGAACCAACAATCCAGAGTCTGATAAGGCACTTAAAGTTGACTTGGAGGAGGGTAGAGTTGACATCAGCACAAAGGACAGGGCCATAACAGTAGTATCTGATTATTATCAGTATATTTTACTTGAATTACAAAGCAATGACTAAACATTCTTCAGATTCTGTCAATGCATAATATATCAGTTGGACAAGAGTTCAATTTGTTTGCATAGCTAATCATTTTGTGTTAGGACCCCCTGTTGAAGACCAATGCCCTACCTCCCATTTCCCTGTGTTCCTGGCAGTTCTGACCACTGTTAACAGCTGGTCAATATCATGGTTAAGATTGGAGTTCTCATCCCGAATTCGAGCATTACTCTCTTCTTGGCGATGGATTCTTTGTTGTAAATCCTAATAAAAGCATAAAACAAATAGAAATTAGACAACGGCATAAGCATACAATAAATATTTGGTGGAAAATGTACACCATAGCACTATTGGGTTTTTTTTTTTAAAGGAAATATCCAAAGAGTACAAGGAATCAAACTCTACTATATTTTCAATATGGTGTACTTAGAAATTAATCATCCCCATATAATATGACGAGAAAGGTTTTACAAATCAATATCTAAACAAATCAGAAAATCTGTATCAACTGTATACATAGAAACTTTTGCTCCTTTTGCCTTCGTCAGCAGGCAAAATTCATGGTAATCTCTTTTTTAAAACAACAGTGTTCTGAACAATAAAAAAAATGAGGCAAGACCTTTTGCACATGTGATAGGTCAGAAACAACACAGAGCAAAAAATAACCCTGTATACAGTATACTCTTGTAATTTAAACCTTCAAATAAACATGTCGTATTAAACAGTGCAAAAACAGGCATGCTTAACTATATTCACAAATCAAAAAATTCTTTTGCTTTGTAAGTGCCAATTTAAAAAGCCAGACTGAGTTTCTAATCATGCAATTTGGTAGCCATGCCACATTGAATACCCCATTGTAAATGGTCTGTTCTGATCTTTGGTAAGAAGAGGAAGTTTGCTGTACTGAGGACATTCGTACTGAGAACTCGGACTTGTTCTGTAAGCAGCATATTTAGCATCAGGGTTGGACAAAGAAAACTTTTTACAAATTTCTTTTTTTGAAGAAAATATGAAATTTTTTTTTGAGCTCATTAAGATACAACACCCACAAGACATTGGTAGATAATGGTAATCCAGTGGGTTAATACTGTTTATGAATTTAACATTTGTGACATCATTATTTCATACATAACACAGGACAGGTCATTGATATATCATAATGCTACACAAACTTCATTAACAATGTACTTGAAATTTCTCCAAGCATTGGTTGCAAGTTGACCAGATAATCTGTGCTTTGGGATGGATGGTGTCCAGTTAATGACATACATTATTTTCCTCTATAGTAAGTTTATTCTATGGTTAAATGTGTGACATACAGTGTTACCTCTAGTAAGTTTTCGGCTCTGGTTTTCTCTATGGTTAGGGCGCGGAGCTCTCTTTCCAGCTCCCTGGTTTTGGTGATATGATCCTGCAATGAACAACAGACCTCTTAAATTAAATCTTTACATTCAGGGTTAAATCAAGCTTCCATCATATTTCAAGTTTTTATTCTACTTGCATCATGTGAAATTTGTTTAAAAACTTTCCAACACCAATGTCTTTTTCTTTGAGAAAATTAATGGTTAAAACAGAAATTACTAAAAATTTCTTAAGAATTTGCCTGCATGTACTTTTGGGCATGCTGGTGGACCAGAGTTTCATACAATATACTAACCAGTATTTGTATTATACAGAATGATTTTACAATACATAAGTTCTGTACTCTCTTATTTTTTCCCAGTACATTATTTTCATGACATTTTTGTACCAAAAGTGAGGGGTTCTCTCAGTAGATAGTGTATGAAAAAAGCTCATGTTTTACAATTGTACAATGTACAACAAAATTGTTGTATAATTTGTAGTACAATTTTGTTCTGTTCAAAAATTGTATGTGTTGCCATGATGAATTGTGTATACAAATGATGCTGCTAGTTCAGCAATTTCACGTAAACCTGTGTATAGGTACTTAAATTATCATCAATATTGAAACAGGATATATATGAATTTTTTATTAAAACTAAACAACCTAAGGATAACATTTCAGTATTGTAGTCCTCTGAGGTTAAATACCGCTACATGCATGTCTAAACATGAAATAATCCCCTAGTCAATAGACAGAAAATTAATAACTCAATAAACTGCAGACACACTCCTCCACTTGTAATCCTCTCCTAATACATGTTTTTATCTTTCATGGAGCATTTAATGAAAAAAAAATTAAGATTTAACAAGTAAAGGTCTATTGATAGACTCATCGTCTTTCCCTGAATGCTTGTGGCCCTATTTCAAAGAACTGACTTCCAAGTTTAAAAATCTTTGAACAGCATAAAAACTGATCTGGATTACCATATTTTAAATATTTTAAGTAAAGTGAAATCCACAAAGTAATATCTAAACAATGAAAGGAAAAGAAAGAAATAGAAATATATACAATGGACTTTTATAAAGAAAATCCAAATTCCATTAAAATTCAACGTCAATTGCAATTAGGGATCACTGAGACATAACCTCTTATGTAAGGAATCCTGTAAAATTTCTTTGTTCTGTTCAATCACCACTGCAACAACAGTAATCAGAATTAATACTTTAAAATACCTGATAACTAAGAAAATTACTATGAATACTTAAATAATTGCAGTAATGTTTACACCGTGATATTTCTTTTACTGATCATTGACATTACTCCCGAGTACAACAGTTTCTTAAATATTGTTTCTTTTCTTCCCACTCGATGCACCAATATGTTGTAGTACATGTAGTTGCACAAATACCCAACCAATGGTCAATTCTAGGTGACCAAAAGACTGCAGACTTGCAAGATTACTGTAATCTGGTTGGTAACTTTTGTAATGGTTAATAACTTCCACTCTCTAGTAGGTCAGAGTTGCAAGTAGTAGCCATTACAGTTTTACATTGAAGACTCATATCAGAGATTTTTTTTATCTATATGCTTAGAAAGGAAAAAACAAACTAGATTTCACCTTGATAAACCATATACACACAAAGGTCCAATAAAATCATTTAGCTAGTGAACCAAGAATGATAAGGTTGTTTGCAATGGACTTCAAATCAAATAAACACCTCTGCATGAGAGGGCAACACCACTTTATCAATATTAGAAGTGTATTAAATTTTGCAGTTTTCCTCTATCAGTCAAATTTTTCTGCATGGTTCCTAATTCCCTCAGTTTCAAAAGTACTACATGTACTATCAATTGGTTCAGCTTGTGCACTTGAAGTCATTTTCAGTCAACCTATACCCTAATGCACAATATAACACACATTTTGTCAACCTTTTCTGACAAACTGATATAATTGCAAAGTTTTGTTTTTCAAGATTTCAACAACCAAGAAACATTTTTCATGTTGTGAATGCTTTGTTTGTGGAAAGCATTGGTCTCTCAGCCCCAAATTAAACTAAAATCATGTAACAAATACTTCATTCTGACCAACTCGAAACCACACATATCAGATAATGAATATAAGGGGCCCTGGTATCAAAACAAAATCAAATTCCTTTTACAAATGTTTAAATGTTTCTTTTATATCTAAGCACCTAGTCCCCGATCAAATAGCCGATTCAATAATATCAGACCTTTATCAAACTAAAATGTATCCAAATAAGAGGCAATTGTATGTGTCTAAAACCAGAAACCAATTCCCTTAGTCCAAGCTTAAATTTTATTTACAATGCACCAAGTTACACTGTGTAATATCTAATATTAATTAAATGGTTTAAACAGTTCCTTGATTTAAAAATGTTGAGAAGTTTCACAAGTATTCAATATGAAATATCTTTGCACAGGAGAAAAAAAAATGCAAGAAAAAGACATGATAATCATTTTAGAACTTACTTTAATAGGACTTTTTCTGGACATGTTTTGAATTCCGCAAGTTAAGAAATTAACATAATATACCCCAAGCTTAAAGACAGAATAATCATATCACAGGCACATCCATTCCAGAAATCCGAGATTCAAGATACAGCCTCACTATATAACATAATCAAATAATCCATTTTTATAAGCGTGAGAACTCGAGAGGTTCCAGTCCATTATCTATCATGGTCCCATAATTTTGGTGTTTGACCAAAGAGAGATTTGGAAACACGACTGGTTTTAACCTTGGATAAGGCTCGAGTCAATCTACCTGGAATCTTTCTGCTGGGCGACTCTTTATCTAACTCATCCAATTCATTCCGAGCCAAAAGACGACTATTGACACTTTTTGTAGCATTACTAGATCCCATTGATATATCAATGTAAACATTACTAGGGTCAAGTAAAGTGGTAATGAACAATGCAGTTGCATAATTAAGCAAGCATTTACATTGTGACAAAGTCAATTAAGCTAACTAACCAGTGTTATCAAAGCATTAAAAAATGGTTTCTTGGTAGAATAAATAAGATTTCCCCCACTTGATCTTTTTATAGCATCATGAATTACCGCAGATACCAATTTTTTTGTGAGTAAATGTATGGAAGAGATTATGAGCATGTTAACTTATGTACTCAGTAATTATGTAATATATAAATAAGGTATCTTCTTACATTCTTATAACACAACGTAATATACACAATACTGCATAAATTAGCAGTATAATGTTAATATGCAAATACTTTTACTTTCCCTCCCCATCCTCCCTCTCCCCTCACCCCTCCCCTCATCTCACCCTTTGTCCAACACAGTCACACATATCCCTTACGGGTCAGAAATGTACTTGTCTGTGTACTTGTCTAACATTGTCTTAAAAACCATAAAAGTTCTAAATCTAAATCAAAAAAATTTAAAATGGGACATATTGCATAACAAATTCAAAGTAAATGAGACAGTTCCTTACAGCTCCCTGCTGGCCATGCTGGGTCTGGTCCACAGGTTCTCTCCACGTCACTTTCTTGTTGGACACTGGGCTCCTTGATCGGCCAGGATAGCTGTATCCTCCCCTATCCATGCCTGGATGGATAGGATACTATATCCACACACCAACAAAGGATATAATTCCTCACATAACACTCCAAAACATCTCGCACTATCCACTGATGTAAACACCCCGAATCAAACTGTCGACTACATGAAATCTTATCCCCAGTTCAATTTTAGAACCTCAGCTCTGCCATAAAACATGCATATTAATAACGCAACTGTAAATCCTCTTTTCACTCACACAACAACAAAAGAACAATATTTGAACAGCTTAATGTCTGCAATAATCCCAAGGTTCACTGGGGTATACATTCAAAAATCGCCCTCATAAAGACACTAAAGTAAAACTGTTCAGCAAGAAAAAGGGGACTTGAATAGTTAAATGGTCTCATGAAATAGATGAAATTGAATTGATAGTTCAAAGTTTAAGCTTCATGAATACTGCATGGATGAATATGAATTGTTTGTAAAAATGTTATCTCTGTTTTCACTGGGGCGGGAAGTTTGTACGCGCATAATCTGACATGCTGTCACACGCCATTCTTATAATGCCCGCTATAGAACGGTGTGGTTTACCTTTAAGTCACAGCATAATAACGGGTACAAACAATAACCATTTCTCTAATGCCTTTTAAACTGGCCAAAAACTAATTTGGTGACACAAGACTTATTACCCTTTTGGGCATTTAAAATTCCCCTCCTCTTTATTGTTCAGTTGTTATATCATTTGTTTCTTTAACTCAAAAACGAATTCTGGCTTACATGTATTAGGTCACCATTTTTTAATTCAGGTATTTCATTCTGAAATTTACTATGCATAAATGTGCACAAAAAATTCACAATGTTCTGTGAACAAAACAAACAATGTTAATTATGCTACTTGTCTGCAGTCCATAAGTCTTTCCAGGAAATGGGAAAAAAGCACACCTCTTGGTAGCTCTTTTATATTTCTTTTTTTATAATTGACCTTATAAGCCTACTCCATTAGGTACCTCCATTTCCTAACTTTCTTTTTACATGCTCTCTATTTGTTTTAATAAGTATGTATTGAAAGTGACTCTGTCCATAAACTTTTAATGCATGATTGTTGGAACTATGAAAAATATGTACTGTACAGTTAAATTACAGATCATACTGTAAATACATTAAAGGATTGAGGAATACAATGGCATTTCTACAGAGTTCTCTCATAAATGCTTTTTTTCCCCTTTTTTCCCCTATTATCAGGTAAAAAGCCTCATCTTATTAATGCAGTCATAAACAGCAATATCTTACAAAACTGAAGTCTGCCTTTAAATATGTTTATCCAAATATAGAATTTCTCTACATTATGTATACATGTAGTTGCTCAAACAATCCCTTTTGTGTAACAGTACAAATATTTTATATAAGTATCAAATCTTCTAGTTTATAACATCAATTACCTACATGTATATGTTTAGAGTTCTGTATCAATAGCATGAAATTTAGCATGTAAACAAAATTTCCAGTTGAATGCAAAATAACATATAACCCCCCCCCCCTCCCATTCCACCTATTCTGTCTTTCAATTTCTTCTTATAGATCAGTAATCTCTCTTTTTTTCTACTAGAATTAAGGTGCACCTTCAAGTTGCTGCATGCTTTCAGGAGCAGTTTTAATAAGCATTCATGAGTTGCTCCCCTTTTGATCAAGTAGTAGAAGATGTTTTCATGCTAAATCAAATAGACTTCAAAATCACTTTTCCTCACACCTGGATAATATATTCAACTTTCTTTTCACTGCAATTAACTAGAAAACTGACCAGTCAACAAGGGCCCCGTCGAGGGGTAGAAATATAAGAGTGCAGCTTACAGAATAAGAATTTTAATTGATTACAAAAATTTAAAAATATATGAAGAAGAATATGCAATAACAACTGTATTTATAAAATTAAAATTTCAAGATAATTCCTAAATATCCAACAACCTGTAAAGAGTATCCCTGTATTTACATAAGGCAGTAAAACACATCATATCTATAATAACTCAATTAAATGTATATTCAAACAAGAATAAAGCATGTGTTTTCAAATATCACCTAGGCTTGACCTTAACTTCAAAACAAACATCAGTTGCAGACAAAGGTTAATTTATCTTAAAGTAACAAATAAAGATAAGCCTGGAAAATTTTCTGCCCAAGACAAGATAATTAATCCCAAGGGATTAATTGTACTGCTCTCTTATCCTTTTCTTCCAAGTTTACAATAAGAACTCTTTCAGTAATGATAGAATGAGTTTATTATTGGACTACCCGTTAAAATTAATAGTATTCTTGAATTTACAACAGCAGGCAAAAAAAAATATGACTAAATAAATAAAATAAATAAATAAAAAAAAAAAAAATTAAAAAAAAAACATATCTTTATGTATATCTTGTTTTTAGAATTCAATAAAATCATAACTCATTGTATATTTTACCAATATAAAGTATGAACATTATTTAAATCCACATTTCAGAGAATGTAAACATCATTCAGAATTGACCTTAACTTCAAAATAAACTTCATTTGCAGACAGAGGTGTTAATTAATCTCAATTTGAGAGAAAGAGATAATGCTTTGGATTTTCTTCAAGACGAACGTTAATTAATCCCATGGGACTAGTTGCAGCTTTCATAGTTTACAATTGGAACATTCTCAGCAGTTATCTCTCTTTGCCCTGGCATTCATTCTAATGTAAAGTTAAAGAGTCTACCCCACCACCCCAGCTCCAAACTGCATGACATAGAGAACCAAACTTAGCATCAAAATATGTCTTACTGCCTCTTCAACCAACATACCAAATTTGAACTTAATTGGTCAACAACAAAAAAAGTTATTAGAAAAAAACAGAAAAATTGTGGATGGAAGAATGACAGACAGACAGACAGACAGAGTGATTACTATAGGGCACCCGCAAATCCTTGCGGGGCCCTAATTATTTTCATTCTTTTTGAAAGCAATGTCAACCAAGTAACATTTTAAAACTTGATCAATAGCTTAGTTATATCATATTTCATGATTAAATTTTCAATGTCAGCTTTATTAAGGTATTCACGTATTCATTAAGCATCCACCTATAGAGTGAAATCTGTAATAGTTCACTGTAGTATATCAGGTGGTACCCATATTGACATACAGTTGAACTTCAATTTCTCAAACACCTAATTAATTAAAACAGAGATCGAATGCATGTACTCTTGGAAGTTGAAGTTTTCTATTTATTGAAAAGAAATGTTTCAGAAACATACCATATATGCCCCCCGTGTGGCAATATTGAAAAGGATAACTTTAAATTTAGAATGTCCATAATGATAGTGAAAAAATGGGTTATCTCAATCTTATTTAACTTAGACACTGCAAATCGGCTACTGCTTCTCAAACATCTAACAACATCAAGTTCGGGGTC